TCTGTTGTCCAGCTACACTGAACCAGCAGCAGCCTCCTCCATCTAGCTGTCGCTCTTTTTCTTGAGCTTCAGCCAGCTCCAGCAGCTTTTCTGCTTCTTCTTCTTCTTCTCCACCTTCTTTTCTGGCTGCTTTTGTTCTTGTTTCTCCTCTTTCTGCTTTTCAATCTGTTTTTTCTCGAGGTCGTCGTCTTGACTGCTCTTGAACTCATTTTTCTTTCTGAGGCACAGCTCCTGCAGCTCCTGATTCTTTTCTTCATACTCTCTGATTCTTTCCTGCAGGAGTATGTTGCTGTCCTCAGTCTGTTTTTGCTTTTGCAGCATTTCCTCCTTCTCCTGCTCTCTCAGGGCGAGATCTTTCCTGAGCTGCTCGATGGTGTCGTGCTCAGTTTTCCAGGCGGTTTCTCTCGTCTGGAGTTCCACCAGCTTCTCCTCAGCAGTCAGGAGCTTTTCACAGAGATCCTCATTGATGTCAGTGATTCTCTGGAGTTCATTCTCTTTCACAGAGAGCAGCTCCTGATTCTTTTCTTCGTGCTCTCTGATTCCCTCCTGCAGGTCTTTGTTTCTGTCATTTTCTTGCTGCTTTTGCAGCATTTCCTCCTCCTCCTGCTCTCTCAGGGTGAGATCTTTCCTGAGCTGCTCGATGGTGTCCTGCTCAGTTTTCCAGGCGGTTTCTCTCACCTGGAGTTCCACCAGCTTCTCCTCAGTGGTCGAGAGCTTTTCACAGAGGTCCTGGTTGACGTCACTGATTCTCCGGAGTTCGTTCTCTTTCACAGAGAGCAGCTCCTTCAAGGACTCGATGTTGGCGGTCATCTCTGATGCCAACCAGCTGTTTTGCAGCAGCTCATCTTCCAGACTCCTGATGCGGATATTGCTCTGGTGAGTCTGGTCGATGAAGCAGCTCTTTTCTGCGAGGAGCTTTCTAATGTAGCCGTCCATATAGAGGACTTGATCCTTTTTGTTGTTCAGCATCAAATAAATCCTCTCCTCCAGCTTGTTTGCCTTTTCTTCTGCTATATTCTTGGCCTCCTGCAGGTTGGCGTAGTCTTCCTGGAGTTTTTTGTGTTTTTCCTCCATCGCCTGGATCTCCATCTGCAGTGGCTCCATTTCTTTCTGTTCATTTTCTCCCTGGAGGTTTGTAGCTTCCAGCATCGCAGAGAGACGGTCATTTTCAAGTCTGAGCCTTGCGATTTCGTCGTCTCTCTGGCTGAGCTGCTCTTGGACCTCGTTCTGGGAGGGCATGACGTGGTCCTGTGTCATGGCTACAGTCTGGGTCTCAGCGGCGGGCTGCTCGACTCTCTGGACGGGCCGCTCTCTGACCTTGTCCTGACCTTTACCAGCTTTGGCCCATGGTTTGCCTGGAGCCTGTGTCTGGGAGGAGGCCTGGTCCTGCTGGTTGACATACCTTCGGCCCTGTTTTCGCTGGCTGTTCTGGTTCGCCAGATGTTCCTCCAGCTTGGAGGTTTGGGCCTTCTGTCTGTAGGCCTGGTGAGGAAACTGCTCCCTTTCAGCTGGGTGCTGGTGACGCCGCCGGCCCGTGTTGTTATGTCCCTCCATCGGCCGGTCATTTCCTCTCTTGACTAGATCCATGGTAATGGTCAGTCCAGTTGGGTTACCCTTACCCTTTCTGAGGGGAGTCTGCTGAGGGCTGTCGACAAATGTAACTCGCCTTTCAGGTTGACGTCTCTGAGCCATTGTAGTACAAATGAAGCGACTAAAAACACTACAGAAATACAGAAATAACGCAGTACTAGTCTGTGTTTGACGGCGGTTCTGAAGAGTTTGTAGGTCGTCTGTTGCTACAAGACTGTTTGTGGTTTGTAGATGTTTGCTGTCGTTGTCTGATGCAGATCGTTCAGTGAAGATGCTGCTGCTCTGACGGTTTGAAAGCGGATGAAATGTTCAGAACTCAGGGCTATTTAGGGATTTTCCACCTTGGGCTGTGACATCATCGATGACATCATGACATTTGCCTTTAATGTTGCCTTTGATCCACATGGAACACACACACACAAGCGCGCATGCGCGCGCGCGCACGCCAGATGTCTCGTCCGCGCTGGCAGCCATCTTGGTACGGTCCGCTCGCTCACCCATTACACTGTGTTGTAGTGGTGTGTGTACTTTTTAAATAACCAGAACTTGCTCGGTTTTCTACCGATGTTCAAATCTGAATTGTAGCCACGTTAATGACGTTTGTAAGAAACCAAACCGTTTGTAAATCCGTCAAGATTTCAGCGAGGTAAGAATATTTACGTTTGTGCAGATCGCTCACCGTCCTTCACGTACCCCAGGTCTGCCCCGAACCAAGATGGCCGCCGGTGATCCCGTTCGAAACGCCGCCTTAAGACATCCAGCCGTTATTATACATATCTATGTGTATGCTCCTGTGTGTGAATTATCTCAACCACCGTTGATGGTCACAATATCTATAGTTTTTGTTCCCGATTATAAACACAGAAGTAGTTTTTCTGGGACGAATGTGAACATAAGCGTGATCGATGGTTTCTGACTGATTTGGGTTTTAGTTTCACTTTAATACAGCGACGGCGTGAAACAAATCAGTCCGACTGCTTACATTCATTCATTTATTTCATAAACAACACAGCGCTGAATGCGTTTCCGGGTTAGACACGTTCTCTGTGGTTGAACAGATCCTCAGAATCCTGTTGTGTATTTGTTCATTCATAAATCCTCCGATAAAGCCGCAGCGTGATATTAATAGAAGCTCTGATGTCGTGTCTCTGAACCAAAGACGTTTTTTTTTTTTCTCAAAGGAAGCGACTCGAGCGTGAACGGCCTCGTGTGGACTAGTTCGGCTGTTTGTGAAGCTGCACGTGTCGCTCACGTTTCCAGAAGAAACGTTTCCACAACATCACAGAAACGTGGCTTTAACAGTGTGTTGCTGCTCAGGGCATCAAATATGGATGTTCAGATATCAAATGATTTCAGAGATTATTTTTTACTAGATGTTATCTGTAGTTACAACAAAAAAAGGGAAAATCTGTCAAAGAAACATGATTTTTCTTTCAAATGACAGCAAAATTCTGGAAAATAATTCAGTTTTTAGAGGATTTAAATGCAGAAAACTGTCATTTTAAGGACAAAACAGCACAATAATATGAGTAAAATCCAGATTTTTCATGAAGCCTGTATTTAGATGAATATTTGAAAAATATTTACAAACTTTTACCAGAAAAAAATCTGCAAAGCAACATAAAAGTCTGAAATATATGATCATTTCGTTCTTTAATTTTATTTATATTTTTTTCTTTTCGTTGTTTTTGCCTCAAAAACGGGGAAATTTCCTGCTTTTATTTCTTGGATTTTTTCAGCCGTTGCAGCACAAATACTTTGAACTTTGAATCACATTTTAAAGCGTATTTCCTTTAATAATTGATTTTTAGCAAAACAAACGTTTTTAATGCAGTAATTTTTATCTATGAACTTATTTTGTGCCGCCCAACAGCTTGAAAAACTGAAAACAGTCAATTTACTGGTTAGAAAAACATCAGTGTTTACTCTACAGGCGACGTTTTGGAACCTGTTGATCAACTAATTACTTAATTTTTCATGTTTTTCTTTAATAACTGGTTGTTTGGCTGAATAATAACCATAAAAACTTGAAATAAATGTTTATTAATACAGTGAAATACAGCAGAATATTTAATTTACTGTCCAGTTTACGTTTTACAGCTTTAGGTAATTTTCTGTCGATAAATTAATTAATTGATTGACTAATTTTTTGCAGCTTTTCATGATTTTTTTTTAGCCTGATTTTGTTTTATTTTTAGTTTCTACCACTTTTCTGTGTTTTCCTCACCCCTCATCTCTTCCTTTCATGTTTATTGATCCTCTCCCCCCTTCGCCCCCTCCTCGACGCACCTGATTGGTCCAGACCAGGCCCCTCCCCCTCCCCCTGACCTGAGGGCTAATTAGTGCTGATTAGTGTGTCTGTTTGTTTGTGTGTGGGACATAAATAGCAGCTGATCCCGACAGGAAGCGCGGCGGGATAATGGCATTACCTGGACGACGGCCAATCAGGCGGCAGGTTGGGCTCTAAGCCAATCAGAGATCAGCGAGTCGGTAGGTCAGGAAGCGATTGGTCCCTGAGCTCTGGCTGTCAGGCGTCCACTCCTCCGGAGGACCAACAATGTTTGCATGTTCGCCCGGTAAGGTTGTTTAAACGTTGCTGCTGGGTTGCTTAAAGGTTTCGTGGCTTTATTCTGGTTTTTAACTCTTTGTCTCGTTCAGACTCCGGTTCCTCTGGTCGTCGTCGTTCCTGTGTTTGGTGTTGAAACCTGATTAGTTGCTCTGCTGTTTGGTTTTCTGACCGTTTATCTGCTTAAACTGATTAAAGCTGCACCGGCTGAACGACAGAATCGATTACGGACGAGTCGATTCGAGTCACTTTTAAGCACAGATGAGGGAAAAAGCAGCGTTTTAGTGACAGAGCTTCTGAATCTGTGAGAAGTAAATGAGATATTTTTATTGTTTGCTGCTGAAACAAACTGATTTAATTAATAAAAACACACTTTGAGAGCTTCTTCAGACACATGAAGGAACATTTAGTGGTTTGCTGTCGTGTTTGTTCTAGTTTTGTGTCAGTAAACTGAACATTTGAGCTTCTTTAAATGTGATTTTATCATCCATTTAAACAGTTTTGATTAATTTAGTGCTTCAGTGTCAGAAATGTCAGTTGATTCTTGTCGGTTTTATTCAGTAAACTGAAGATATTTGCTCCTTTAAACGTCTCTGAGTTGATTTTGCGACGATTTTGATTCTTGATTGACAGTTTGAGACGTTTTTTAAACACAGATTCAGAGAAAATTCAGAGTTTTATTGAGACACTTTGTTCTGTTTCCTGCTTTAACTAGTTTGAACCAATAAGAACCAACAGATGTGAGGATTTTCTGGTTTTCTTGCTGATTTGTGTCAGAAAACTGAAGATTTATTAGTTTGTTTAAACATCTCTTGGTTTCTGTTTACCTGCTTTTACTGTTTTAATCTCAAATTTATCATTTTAGTCTAAAAACTGTCAGTTTTTCTTTATTATTTATGCACTAAACTGAAGGTTTTTCATCTCAGACGACTCTGAGTTGGATTTTGTATTAATTTTTGCAGATTGATGAACTCTGAAACTGTTTTACTGTTTAAAAATCACTTTGAGAGCTTTTTTTTGTGCGACATAGTGATTTATAACAAGAATCTGCTTTTATTTTGTGCAGTTCGAGTTGTTTTTAGGCGCAAACGACAAATTATTTGAATTTCTTTGTCATTCATAGTCGGTAAACTGTTGCGTTTGTTAAAATATCTGCGCTCAGTTACCTGCTTTAACATTTTTTATTGATTGTCGATTAATAGTTTGAGCTAAAAAGCAGATAACTGACAGAATCCAGCTTCTTAAATGTGAGAATTGATCATTTTCTTGGTCATTTATGTCAAGAAACAGAAACTTTTTAGCTTTTAAAAGTGTTTAAATGCCTCCGTGCTGCGTTTATTTTGTGCTGCTACTTTAACGGTTTAAATAGTTTTAATCATTGATCGATAGTTTGAGTGAAAGTGGCAGAAAACGTCCATGTTCCAGCTCCTTAAAGGTGAGATTTAATCAGTTCTTTTGGTCATTTGTGTAACTAGACTAGTGTTTAGTTTGTCAGACTGTTTAGTTGTCTGCAGGCTGATTGTTGCTTTTATTTCAGGTTCATTGTGTTTTTATTGATTAAATCTTTGAGCTGCAGAAAATCAAATCAAATTGTGAGAATGTTCAGTTTTTCTCATCTTTGCCTTTAAAACTGGTTCATGTGAGGTTTTGTGTCCGGTGGTGTTTAATTTGTTGTTTTGTTTTCTTGTGTTTGTGGTCGGAGACGCTTCGCTTTGTTTAAGAGACCAAAGTGAAACCAGAGCAGACGATAATAACATCAGCCGTGTGTCTGGCTGCGGTTTGGATCCGGATATTGAATTAAGCGGCAGCAGAACATGTTGTTGTTTTAGCGAAGCGCTGACGGAGTTCAAGCTGCAGACGGACCGAGAGCTGCAGAGGTCATCGACACGTTCGTTTACTTCTTGTTCAAGGAAACTCTTTGTTTTTAAATCTGTTTTCCACCCGTTTGAAAATAAATTAGCTTATTTGAAACGGTCCGTGTTTACGTTGAAGTGTTGATTCAGGCATCCTCGTTGGAAACAGTTTAATAAAATCACATACTTTTGGGTAACTTTAAGTATGTGTTGTAAAAATCTAGCAAAATGGTAGAAGTGTTACCCCCCCAGTGTTACTGTGTTGAGCAGCGAATGTGGCTAACATTAGCATTAGCCACAACAACAAAATACATCTCCGGTGTTAGCATGTTGTGTGGCTAATGTGGCTAACGTTAGCATTAGCATCAGCAACAAAGGAAATCCCCAGTGTTTGCATGTTGTGTGGCTAACAATAGCAAGTAGCCACAAGAGCAAGGGAAAGAACCAGTGTTAGCATGTTATGCAGCTAATGTGGCCAACATTAACATTAGCCTCAACAACAAAAGAAATTCTCAATGTTAGTGTGTTGTGTGGCTATTGTGGCTAACATTACCATTAGCCTCAACAACAAAATAAATCTCCAGTGTTAGCTTGTTGTGCAACTAAAGTGGCCAACAATAGCATTAGCCACAACAGCGAAGGAAAGCCCCAGTGTTAGCATATTATGCAGCTAATGTGGCTAACATTAGCATTGGCCTCAACAGCAGAATACATCTCCAGTGTTACCATGTTGTGTGGCTAATGTGGCTAACATTAGCATTAGCCACAACAACAAAGGAAATCCCCAGTGTTAGCATGTTATCCAGCTAATGAGGTTAGCATTAGCATTAGCCTCAACAACAAAAGAAATCCTCAGTGTGTTTGTTGAGCAGCTAATGTGGCTAACATTAGCATTAGTCTCAACAGCAAAATAAATCTCCAGTGTTAGCTTTTTGTGCAGCTAATGTGGCTAACAATAGCATTAGCCACAACAGCAAAGGGAAGCCCCAGTGTTAGTATGTTATGCAGCTAATGTTGCTAACATTAGCATTAGTCTCAACAACAAACTAAATCTCCATTGTTTGCATGTTGTGAAGCTAATGTGGCTAACATTAGCCACAATAACAGAGTTCAGTAAAGTGTTTCTGATTCTGTAAAATGATGAAGCGATAGGAAATCCTGGTCTCACACAATCGGTCCGTTTTTCTTCTGTCTTGTCAACCAGAGCGTCTTCTTCCTGGATTTAAAGCTACAGATACTTAAAAAGCCTTTTTAAGACAGAACTAAATCCAGGAGTTATACAGATGCTGTGAATTCAACCATCTCTGTGGCATTTTGAGCTCAGAAACCCTGTAAAGACTTCTATTTATTTGTTTTAAAATGGATCAATCTGGGTCTTTTAAACTCAGAAGTTGGGACCAGACGTTACCAAGTGATCTGATACCTGTACCTGTCCTGTGTTATATTTAATATTTTCAGTCAAACTTGTCCAAAATTAGCAGAAAATTCATCCACAATGAACCAAAACTCGATGAAACTAAAATGGCTCTGAATGAGTTCAAAATAACTTAAAAAAACTGGCTGCAGGAGTCCTGGTGACCTGAACGTGACCAAAATGTGTCTAAATGAGTAGAAATGAATGAGCTTTAATGGGGAACAATGTGGACCTTTAATCTGAAGGTTGTGGCTCCTCCCCTTTGTGTCCTTTATGGTTCTCCTGGTCATTAACGCTGATCTAAGGCTTCTTCTTCTCCTCCTCTCAGTACCTGGCTGTGGACGTGCGGCGGCTGAACGTCAGTCTTCTTCGGTGGTTTCGGGAAGGCGTGGCGGCGGCGCTCGGCGTCCCCGCAGGACGCGTTCACATCAACCAGCTGAACGTACGACACTCACCATCCGTCTGGTTCCACCGGCGGCTCCACCGACTCGCTGACCGACCTCTTCTTCTTGTTGCAGGAGAAGAAGAATGGCATCGAGCTCTTCGTGTCCTCTGATAGGCTGGGAGTGTCGGAGCCCCGCCCCGCTGAGGAGGTCATCCAATCGCTGAACGTCCGGGTGCTGCACCGCCACCTGGGACACTTCGGCATCACCGAGGTCTCCACCGAGGTGAGTCTCTGCTGTTGCTGCTCTCCGGTCGCCACGGCAACCCGTCAGGCAGCATCCTCGTTAGTTGCCGTGGCGACGGGCTGGGAGGATGGATGGGGATGATTAGAGAGCAGAGTGCTGCTGCTGAAAGTTTAATAGGACGGTTAAAGCACCATCCATCAGCTTCACGGAGCAGATTAATGTTATTACTGTGAGCGGCGCCTCGATAACGTTACAGCAATGGATCAGAACCAGAGTCCCAGGTCCTGTCGGCGCCGAGTCCATCTGAGGCCGACGTCCCGCCGCCACGAGAGAAACAAATGCTCTGATTGGTTCTGATAAACTAACAAACAGCCGGTTTAGCCCAGGATGCAGCAACAGTGTTGCAGCAGATCCAAACCTTCACGTCTTCATCGTTGTTGTTGTTTATAGAGTCTGTGTTCATTATTCTTCTTTCTGTACCTTCCTGGACGTTCCTGCAGAAGAACGTCCTGCAGGGCGAGCAGAGGGACCACGTGTGGAGCAGAGAGGGCTTCTACGCCGTCGTCCTCTTCTTCACCGTCTTCGTCATCGTCATCACCTGCTTGATGGTAAAACTCACCTGATCAATACGATAACACACCTGATCAATACAGTAACACACCTGATCAATACGATAACACACCTGATCAATAC